GTTGGACGTATGTTTATTTGGTTTGAGTCTTTCCTTTTGGCGTTGGAGTTACACTGAATCTTGGAGGCTGAGAGAATATTTCCTCTGCTGATTTGCTACCCCTCTGTATGCACAATATAAATTCATCCTCACAAATGCTCGCATTGGGATCTGCCACAACAAACATTTTCATCTGTTCTTTCATTCCACAATTATTAAACGCTCACTGTGCCCTAGGCAGGGATCTATGAACAACACATAAATCCCAGCTCTCGTAGAATGTACTAATACATTCCAGAGGGTCTAATATGTTGTCTTCCTAGTAGCTTCTCTGGATTTCCAAAGCCTGTGGATTTATGTTAGAAATTCCTTGTTTATGGTGTACAGGGTGAAGGTTACTAGAAGGGAGGAAAACTTCATTTCATTGGTGATAATAATCTTTTTTCTGTTTTTAATCCTTTCCTCCTGTTGGCTGGAAAAAATTTCCTTCTGTCGGCTGGGAACATTTCCTGTTCCCTTTTGTTTCTCTCTTCCTGTTGATCCTCTAAAGACCTCTATACCCAATAGATCCTCTGGCCCCTTTGTAGTGCATCCTGATACCAGGTGCATCCTTATGGACCTAAGACGTACTAAGGCTTGTACTAAGTGCCTCCCCCACCTTAGTCCTCTCTACAACACTGCGAGGTTCTACAGTTGTGTATCATAGGAACAGATTTTTCTAAAACGAGTTAACTTCAAACTTTTATCTCAATTCTATTGATTTCTACTCTATTATTGTTTGAATTCTGAATATTCAGCATAGATTCAGTTAATCTTTAGATTTGACTGCCTCTTGTACGCCTGGGGCTTCAGTTATATGTAACAGATGGAGACAAAATTCAGCCTGGCTGAGGGGCGTTCATTATCACGGATGACTCGGTCTAGCCACTCTGGGCATCCAGATATTGACCGTGCTTGAGATTTACACAATCCAACTCTCTAGCTTTAACAGTACCTGCTGACAGCCAGATCGAGACGGAACGCATGCTTCAAGAATCCCCTGTGCTCCACAAACATAGCAGTACTGGCTAAAACAAAAAGAGAAAACAGAAGAAGGCATGGTGAGGCTTAAATACAAGCATTTTTGAAGATCCCAGCTGGCACAGAAAAACACAAACAGCAATCAGGCCTGAAAGGGTGGGTGGACTGGCAGGGTTTGGAATGCAGAGGCAGTCAGTGGTGGTCATGAGTCAAAAGTATTCCCTGTGAGGGGAGCTGGGGTGGCTCAGTCGGTTAAGCATCTGACTCTTGATTTCGGCTGAGGTCATGATCTCAGGGTTGTGAGATCAAGCCCTGCGTCAGGCCCAGCGCTGGGCATGGAGTCTGCTTGAGATTCTCTCTCTCCCTCTCCCTCAGCCTCTCCCCACCCCCCGACTCTCCTTCTCTCTCTCTAAAAAAAAAGTATTCCCTGTGATATGGGGAAGCAGAGGTAGGCTCCCTGACTGAAGCCCTGGGCTAGCGTGGTATTCATTCCTTACCTCCCACCCTCAGGGGAGGAGGCTAGAAATAAACCTGCTGCCAAATGCTGAAGGAGCAATGGCTCCTATCCAGCTCCAGGCGGGGAGAGAAAGATGAAACAGCCTTGTGACCAAGTGCTGAGTCAAGCTTCCCCTTGACCCAGCCTGGGTTGACCACAGCCCACTGGCTCTGCAGGACAGTTCCTGTTGCTGCCCTTACTAGACCTGGACTTTGACTGGGGAGCCCCAAAGCTGCTCAATAGGATAATTGAATATAGAGGTAAAGGAGAAGGGGGGAGGAGGGGAGGAGAGGAGGTGGAGAAAGAGAGAGAGAACTGAAACAAACACACCACCTCATATCCCAGTTAGACTGTAAATCAAGTAAAAAACTGATGGATAAAAGCTAATACTGAGGGGCGCCTGGGTGGCTCAGTCGGTAAGCATCTGCCTTCGGCTCAGGACATGATCTCAGGGCCCTGGGATGGAGCCCCATGTTTGGCTCCCCTCTGAGTGGGGAGTCTGCTTCTCCCTCTCCCTCTGCTCCTCCTCCCGCTCGTGCTCTCTCTCTCTCTCTCAAATAAATAAATAAATAATCTTAAAAAATAAAAGCTAATACTGAGAAAAGCAGTCAACAAACCAACAATCAGAACATGGATTTGCTTCAGAAGAAACTGATTTTACAGAACAATCAGACAAGGCTTTAGAGTAAATATATGGATTATTTCAAAGAAATAAATGAAATCAAAACTTACATTAAATAATAAAAAATTATGGGAAAATAGGCTGAAAATAAGAATGGAGAGATACGAAAAAAGGCCAATTAGAATATTTGAACATAAAAAAATAGTCACTGAAATAAAAAACATGGGGCTTTGAGGCACTGCTGGTGGGAATATAGTTGGGGCAACCTCTTCAGAGAGCAATTTGGTATATTTAGTGATGTGGGAGATGCTCATTTAGGTGTACATCCTAGAGAAGCAGTTCTTAAACTTCAGCTTGTCTCAGAATCACCTGGAGGTATCATTAAAGCAAAGCTCTCTGGGCTCCACTTGCAGAGTTTCTAACGCAGTCGGTCGGGGGCCGAGGATTTGCATTCTGACGTGTTCCTGGTGATGCTCTTGCTATTAGCCGGATCACACTTTGAGAACCACTCACTGCTCTAGAAGCCTTTGGCAGAGGTGCAGGATGTGATGTGTATAAAAATGTTCATTGTTAGGGATAGCAAAATGTAGAAACAATTTAAATGCGCACCTGCAAGAGAATGAATAAGGAAATTGTGGGGTTTTGTTAATACAATGTAATATACATAGAAATTAAAATGAAAGAACCAGAGATGCAAGTATAACAACAAATATATTTTTAAAGATTTTATTTATTCATCTGAGAGAGAGAGAGAGCATGAGCAGGGGGGAGGAGCAGAGGGAGAAGCAGACCCCCTGCTGAGCAGGGATCCTGAAGCCAGGCTTGATAGCAGGACCCGGAGATTACAACCTGAGCTGAAGGCAGATCCTTAATCATCTGAGCCACCCAGGCGCCTCAACAAAAAATATTAAAAACCATATTCTGGGGGTGCCTGGGTGGCTCAGTCAGTTAAGCGACTGCCTTCAGCTCAGGTCATGATCCCAGGGTCCTGGGATCGAGCCCCACATCAGGCTCCTGCTCAGCGGGGAGTCTGCTTCTCCCTCTTCCTCTGCTGCTCCCACTGCTTGTGGTCAGTCTCAGTCTCTCTATGTCAAATAAATAAATAAATAAAGTAAAAATATTCTGCGAAAAAAGCCAATTACGAAGTGATATATGGAGCTGGATACCATCTATATACATTTTAAAGGCATGCAAAACAAAACAACATAATGTTTATGGATAGCAAATAATATAAATCATGCATGAATGGGGTAATTCCCAATTTATGATATTCGTTAATTGTGAGGAGGGGGTGAGGCTAATGGGACAGACATGGATAAACAGAGGGCCTCAACTGCACCTGCATTGTTTCTATCATCTATCTATCTATCTATCTATCTATCTATCTATCTATCTATCTATCTATTATCTTTCTATCATGTATCTATCATTACTTTTTTTTCTTAGATTTTATTTATTTCTTAGAGAAAGCAGATGCACAAGGGGAGAAAGAAGAGGGGGAGGAGGGAGAGGGAGAGGGAGAGGGAGAGAGAATCTGAAGCAGACTCCACCCTGGGTGCAGAGCCTGACCTGGGGCTCGATCTCATGAGCACAAGACCATGACCTGAGCCGAAACCAAGAATCAGACACTTAACTGACTGAGCCACTGAGGTGCCCCTTATTAATTGTATTTTTTCAAAAAAAAGATCTTAAGTAAATATTGCTGTCCTAGTTCAGGGAGCTGTAACAGAATACCGTTGACTGGGTGGCTTATAAACAACAGAGATTTATTTCTCACGGTCTGGAGGCTGGAATTCTGAGGAGGGAGGAGGGAGCCAGCCTGGATGGGTTCCAGTGAGAACCCTCTTTTGGGTTACAGACTGCCAAATTCTTGTATTCTCAAATGGTGGAAAAAGGGCACGACAACTCTCTGGCGTCTCTTTAATAAGGGCATGAATCCCATTCATAGGGGCTCCATCCTTATGACCAACTTCGTTCCCGAAGGCCTCTTCTCCTAATCCCATCACAATGGGCATTAGGATTTAACATAGGACTTTGGGGAGATGCAAACCTTCAGTCCGTAACAATTGTCAAAAGCTAATATTTGACAAAGCTGGGTAGTGGGTATAAAGTGATTATGTTTCTTCTTGTGTAGATATCAGAATTATGTCATGATAAAAATGTATTAAAAAGAATACCTGCAAGAATACCAGGCCAGACTTTGCTTCTGGATGTTTTTAAGGCTGCAAATCATTATGTAGAGAAGATTGAGCCTCTCTTCTGGAATAACAACTGCATCCAATTCTGTATCCTTCATGACGATGATATATAAAAGTACAACTACTGATTTCAAATCCCTACTCAGAGGAACTGGTGAAGTCCCCCAGCCTTTCCCTCCAGTCTGGGTTCCTCTTCCTCCATCAGAGAGTTGCGGCTGCTCATCCTCCTCTGTGTCCTGGTTTCTGGGCTGGGATATTTGATTCTTTGGGCAAGAGCAAAATAAAAGGAATCTGATCATCCAAAGCCTCTTTTATTGCCCTCACTCACAGAGAAGCATTCTGCCTTTCATTGCTCGATTTTGGACTTCTAGGGTGTAAAACTGGGACAATGGAGTGACAGACTCAGGAAAACCCACAAGGCTGGGTTGGTTTACACTGTAAAGGCAGAGTATTGCTGGCAGAAGACAGAATGTTCCCGAGGGAGAGAGGGGAGGAGGAAAGACAGGAACCAGGGGGGCCGGGGTGTGACAGCAGAGGTTTGGCATTTGCCTGTTTCCCTGGCTTTCCAGGTAGTTCTTTCTCAGCCAGCTGGTGCGGTGGTCTTCCCAGTGGCTTTGGACCAGCCTCAGATGTCAGCGCCGAAGAGCGGGCGGCAGTTTGCTTTGCATTTTGGGAGAGGAAAAGTCTCTGTTAGATTGGGTCAAATAGGGTCAGAGCTGAAAATTTTCCATTGTGCAGGGACATAGGTATGCCACTCTTCAATGTCCTCCGTGCCTCGAGCGGCACAAAGTTCTATAGTGTGACTGCCTCGTGTCCAGTTAGGTGAGGGAGCTCTTCACTCTCGGTACCTCATTTGTCTCTCACCACATCCTTGTCAGGTGGTGTTATCTTCCAGCTTTATTGATGAGAAAATGGGCTCAGAGGGCCCGACCTGCTTAAGGTAACACATCTATCGAAGGCTTATGTAGATTCAAATCCATGTCTGTGCTGTTTTACACTGAGCTACAGGGCACTAGGTTCTGGGGGATGCAGCTAAATGTAAGACATAGAGGAGCTTTGTCATTTGTTTGGGGACACAAGCTATCTGCCCCTGAAGCATTTAGGCCGACGCAGTCATATGAAACAAAGAGAAACCTGTGTGTTTAAGAGATGTTGAAGGCCAGTCGTCTACAGGGTGCTGTTAGCTTTGGCTCAGCTGCCTCCTACGATCAGAATAGGATCACACCCCTGATGTTCCTTTTGCTTTATAGTGAAATGATATCATATTTCCTTTTTGGAGAAGAAAGATTACTCAGCCTGCAGATAATCATCAAATGCTCTGGAGGAAGTTCTTTGGAAGGAAGGCAATTTGGTGTTGCTACGTTCTGCATAAAAGTGAGTCTCAGTCACAGCCTTTATTAGACCGTGAGCTCCTTCAGGATTGAGGCTGGGTCTTCCACGTCTGTACGGCACAGATCCTGGCCCAGAGAAGCTATGAGGTAACATCCGTTGTTGTCATTGTAGATTTTCCCCACGGGGGGATAAAGGGCAGGCAGGTAGGGAGGGGATATCTGGCTCATTCTAGTGAAGGCAGGCTTCCTTGCATCCTTCATAAATGTGGAAGTCTCAAGATTTCATTTCACCCTATACTAGAGTAGTTTAGAGCCAGAGACATTGGCAAAGAGTCCAGCTGGCGTGGAATCCTCCTCAGCGGGCCCCTCGTCCTGCAGTGATGTTTGTCCAGCTAGTCTACACACTTGGGACTCCCATGGAGCTTCCGCACATCCCCTGGGGCCGAGTTTTCCATGATTTATTATCTTCTTTCCTTTGTTGTCTGAGTGCTTCGAACCTCTGTGGAGACCTGATCCCATGGGAGACCCTGGGGGCTGTAAGAGCCATATACGTGGGACATGAGTCATAGCCAGTGACAACCCTTGTTTCTTCCTTTTCTAGTTCAGCTGATGGTGGATCTCCACCCTTTTCCATAGGTTCAGAGAAGCTGTGATCCTTGAATTTGGGGCCTGTGTCCCACAATGAGATCCATGACCTGCATTTGCCACCAGCCCCAATGTTCTGAGTATGTTAGGCCTCTGTGTTCCCCCCAGAGAAGAGATGGGGAAATAGCAGGGGGCAGGTGAGTGGCTCTTTAGAGGCACCTGGAGAGAGGCTATTTAGTTTCTGGTTTACACCAAAGTTGGAAACTCGGAGCTCATACCCGGAGAGCATGCAGAAGGTGGCGCATGGAAGAACAGCTGCAAAGAGGTACCAAGTCTAGAGTAAGGATTCTTCTTCTTCTTCTTCTTTTTTTTTTTTTGAGAAAGCACAAGGTGGGGAGAGAGGCAGAAGGAGAGGGAGAGAGAGAGAATCTTAAGCAGGCTCCACACTCAGCACGGAGCCCAACGTGGGGCTTGGTCTCACGACCCTGAGATCATGACCTGAGCCGAAATCAAGAGTCTGACACACAACTGACTGAGCCACTCGGGTGCCCCTAGAATAAGAATTCTTGACTTCAGTACGACCCAATCCTTTCTTCAGAGTTGCCCAATTTGTCATCTCATTTCTTCTCTTGAAAGTTCTTTTACTGAGTCATTGAGGTTTTAAATACCAACCCATTTTCCAAGCAAAGAAATAGAGGCACACAGAATTCCACTGGATTGCTTAAGGTCACATAGAGTAGGGGTGCCAAGTTTCCCTTCATCTCCGCCGCCTTTCCAGTCACCTCAAATTAACCTACAGTCTAAACAGAATCAGTTTGCTTGTTAATCAGCTGCGTCTTCAAGGCCATGCCCGGGGCCCCACCGAGACTGCCATCCCCTAGGCTCTCCCTTTCCCGAAACTCGGCGATAATCACATAGTCCGTGAGCAACAGAAGCAAGATAATAAGAAAGTCTTCCTGGGATTAATGTTTTCAAAGAGCCTGCACGTCCATTATCTCACCGATGTACTTAATATCCTGGGAGCCCGGAAAAGCAGGTATTATTCCCATTTAAAGATTAGGAGCTAGAAGCTCAGAAAGTTCGATGCTCACTTTGGTTCCCTCTGCAGTAGTGGGCTCTCCAGCTCACCCTGGCACTGGGGTCTCTTTTGCACATCTGACTGCAGAGATGTTCCATGTATTTTCTTCTGCCTGCATTTCCCGTGTGCTCCCGTTATGGGGAGGCTATACGTGAGTAGCTGTGAGGAACAGGTCATGCCTATTCAGTACCGAAGCTGCCAGAATAATGTGAGAAGCTCTCAGTTATTGATCAGATTTGGTGGTAGGAATGCTAAACCCCGGGGAGGTGGCATCATGGAAGGATGGTGGGCTGTGGGGTCAGGCTGGGCTGTATGCTCCTCAGGACTCTGTCACTTACTAGCTGGTTGAAACAAGGCTCCTGGGAGCCTCACATGCCAGGTCCCTTTCTTCCCCTGCACAGCTACCTGACTTAGTCATCGAGGGCTCAGTGGAGCAGAGTTTGAAAAGAGCTGAGGTAGTACAGTTTTTCAGGACATTTAAAAGTAAGGTCAGTAGCTAAGAAAAGGAAATTATGCATAAGACCAATTCCACTCGTTCCGCCCACGGGCCAGTGGGAGCGGACTCGTCCAGATCCACAGACATCTTGCATCTTGGCGCTGATGGGTAGGAGGGTTGCAGAGACATCCACACCCACACAGGAGGGCGCTTCCTTCCGGAAGTCCTGGTGAGCTTCCTTGCTTTCTTGTTGGCTTGAGACCAGTAGCTGAAGGTGGAAAGGAAATAGCACTCTGGCTCAGCAGGATGCTCAGAGCATGTACCCAGTCCTTTATTACATCACAATTTATTGCATGCAGATTACAAACGAGTGACTCCTTTTGGCACTGGACAAAGGACTGTCTTCAAGGAGCTGTGTGTGTGTGTGCGTGTGTGTGTATGTGTGTGTGTGTGATGTTATAGCCAAACAAATAAATGTCTAACAGATGACAGTGAGGCTGAGACAAAAATGTCAAAGCAAGAAGGGGGTTGGAGTGTGATGGAGCTGCACTTTCAGGCAGGCGGTCCGAACGGGCCTCCCTGCTAAAACAGCCTTATGCAGAGAATTGCAGGAAGTGGAGGAGGAAGCCACACAGGCAGAGAGAACAAAGACAATTAGGGCAAAGTCCCTGAATGCCCCTTCCTGCTGTTTCCTTCCATCTTTAGACCAGCCCTGCAAATCTGCGTGTCGTGCCCCCCATGTGAAGATGAGAAAGCTGAGCTCAGCGAGATCAAGGGACTTTCCCAGGCTAGAGCTGGTCCCTGATGGCGCCAGAGCCGAGCCCCGCTCCCCTGATTGCAGAGGCGTTGCTGGGCACCCGGGCTGTCTGTACCCGGGTGGCGAGGGATGGGCCATGGCTGTCACGTTGCTGCAGGAGCCGAGAAGTGGGCCTGCAGTGAGCGGGGGCAGGGAGCCTAGCCCTTGCTGTCTGCCTCCTGGAGCCCAGCCACCACTGCTTGCTCACCCTGGGGTGGTGGCTGTTTCCCGAAATTTTTGTCTGCGTGCTAGTGAGCTCATTTGGCACTTCGTCTCACCGCTGGCGACGAGCGTCTCAGAGGCCAGGTGGAGAGAGCAGGGAGACAGGGAGCTGGTCACGTAGCCGCAAACAGCTGCAGGACTGCAGTTTGGATTTCCCTGCCTGAGCCCCAAACTGTTTTTCTGTATTTGTCAGGGAAAACCTTAGCCAAGGGAGCACCTTCTTTTGAGGACGTCAGATTAGGCCAAGTGCCTGTGCGGCCTCTGTCTGCATCCAGTCACGTTCGTGATTGTCCCCTGTGACTGTCCCCTTCCCTGCTGGCCCCTTGCTCCTTACATGCACTTGGCTGATAAAGTTCTCTCATCTCAGAGGGGAGGCCCATGGATTAACAGTCCCAGAGCCTGCGGGGCATCTCTCCCGCGGGTCCCTGAGTGCAGAGGAGTTAACCTCACAGGCAGGGCAGCTGCCTGGGGGCAGGGGTGTCCTACAGTGAAAGGCCATGGCACAGTGAGGTGGCATGGCCCAAGTGGGGGGCACCGGCTCTTGGGTCAGGCCCGTGGGCGTTTGCATCTATCTCTGTCACGTCCTAGTTCTTTGATCTGAGGCAAGTCACTTGCTGTCTCTGAGCTTGTTTTTTCAATTGCATGAAACCCAGGACAGTCCCTACCTTGACAAGGCCTAGGTCATGGGATCACAGCCTTGTTGTGGGGATGATCTAAGCCCTGCAGAATGTGGGCCACGGGAGGAGCTTGGTAAACATCCTCTCTTCCCTCCTTGGAGGGAGGCTCCTCTCCTACCAACACAGGATTTGAGTGCTCTGAGGGGAGGCTCAGCTCCTCCAGAAAGTTGCCCAGAAAGCTTTCCTCATTGAACCCATCCCTGGTGACTTACACGATTCCATGAGAAATCCATTCAGTTGGGTTGGACATTGCCCTCCATCTAGTTTTTTTCATCACAGTTTGGTTAGGAGGTGGTGGATTTGGGGTATGAAGACACTGGAGTAGTCTGACGCCTGAATGGGGTCCTGCTCCCTCTGTCTACTGCCCCGGTGGGGACCCCACAGTCTCTTCTCAGAGATTCATCTTTCACACCTCTCCTCCCTGGCCCACCCCACTCTCCTCTGCTGAACCTGGATTATTATTGTTGTTTTTATTTTTTAAAGACTTTATTTATTTATTTGAGAGAGAGAGAGAGCGAGTACACACATGAGAAAGAGCACGAGCAGGGGGGAGGGGCAGAGGAGAGAGAGAGAGAAACAGATTCCCCGCTGAGCAGGGAGCCTGACGTGGGACTGGATCCCAGGACCCTGAGATCATAACCTGAGCCGAAGGCAGACACTTAACTGACTGAGCCACCCAGGCGCCCTAGGATTAGTATTTTGTCAGTCAAGGATTTGATTTTTGTCCGTCAAGGATTATCTTGTCCCTCACTGTGATGTGGTTGGAGATTCTTTCTTGATCTTGCCTATCCCGTCTTCTTTTGGGGCCAGACTGATTGTCCCTGCTCTGTTCTCCCATATGCATGAAAAGGAGCTCATCATGTTGCTGTGGCACCACTTGGATACTTCTCTGTCTCCCCTGAAAGACTCTGGGCTCTTCAAGGGCAGGGCTCATGAACTCTTATGGATTTGGTGTCTAGTACAATGCCTGACACCCAGGGGCTCCTTGAGGAGTGCTTGACTGGGGCAGTGGCAAGAATCTAAGTCTGGGTAAACCACATCAGTAAATTACAGATTAGTCAGTTTCAAATGCTGTTGATTTCAAAATTTGCCAAGGGTTTGATAATTGTAGGAATCTTTCTTCCTTATTTATTTATTTATTTATTTATTTATTTATTTATTTATTTATTTAATGTGTTTTCTTTCCTTTTATTTTTGAACCTCAGCCCCCAGCCGAGCTAGCCCAGCAGACACTGGGCTTTCTTTCTTTTTTAATGAATGAGAGGGAATTAATATACATTAGTAAATGAAGTAATGGGACATCTATTCAAGTATTTTATGCATTAAAACTTTTTGGATGCTTTTCTCAGTATAAAGATTCAATCCATTTGACAGCTGGAGTTACTGTCTTGGATCTCAAAGAACACAACTGGGTCTTGGGCAGCAGAGGAAGACTGATTCGATGATCCGCACGATCATGTAGGTTAAATACTGGGCTTTTGGAAACCAAGACTTGGCTCCATTTTACTTTATTAAGTAGAGATTAGGGCCTGGGATGCGATGAAGCCTGTTTTTAACACAGCAAGTCAAGTCAGGCTTCTGCAGCGTGTGCAGCGAGTATGTGTTAGGAAGGGCATCCAGGAAGGGTAGGCACTGCTCCTAAGCTGCTAGATTATAAGGCAGCTTGCAGAGGGGAGAAACGTGCAGGGATGGCGTCCTGGAATGTCCTGGAGCCAGCAGAAGCATAAAGTGCGAGGCAGTGATTTGGCCAGGAAGCCTGTGTTTACAGACCATTTGCTGTGGATTTAGGCATGGTGCAGATGCATGCAGGAATCTGAAGACTTTGACCTTTCTCTGACTGTGTATCTCTCTGCGCTTTCGTTGCCGGGAAATCATGGAATGTTGAAGCCAGCAGGAACACGCTTTATTATTTTTTTAGGGGAAGGAGCAAGGGTTTTAGACCTTGTCAACCTGAATTCAAATCCTAGTGTAGGCATTTGTGAGTGTAGGCAAGACATTATACCTTTCCAGAGGGTCCGAGATATTGAATAATTCCCCCGAGGTTACAGAACCGGGATGTCATTGTTTCAGTTATGTATTGCTGCTAATCAAGCCACTCCCAAACTTAGTGGCTTAAAGTAGCAATAGTCCCTTATTTAGCTCATAAATCGGCAATGGGGGTGACGGCCCAGCAGGGCAGGCTAGTGTCTGCTGGGCTAGCTCGGCTGGGGGCTGAGGTTCTATTTCCCCGGGTGGCTCAGTCACCTGGCCGGCTTGTCCGTGGGAGTTCAGCCCCAGATGAGAACGGGGAGCTTAGTTCCTTCCCACCATGGCCTTTCTGCAGGCGACTTGGGTTTCCTCACACCATGGTGCCTGCCTTCCAAGAATCAGGAAGAGGAATCCATTTCTTTCTTTCTTTTTTTTTTTTAAGATTTTATTTATTTATTTGACAGAGAGAGACACAGTGAGAGAGGGAACACAAGCAGGGGGAGTGGGAGAGGGAGAAGCAGGCTCCCCGGGGAGCCCGATGTGGGACTTGATCCCAGGACCCTGGGATCATGACCTGAGCCGAAGGCAGTCGCTTAACGGACTGAGCCACCCAGGCGCCCGAGGAATCCATTTCTTAGGACCTGGGCTTGGAAACTGGCACAGCATAACTTCTGTCTTATTCTGTAGACAAGCAGTCACCAAGCCCAGGTTCAAGGGAAGTGGCCACAGGCCCCGCTTTTTAATGAGAAGAGTGTCCAAGAACTTGGGGTTGTGATTTAAAACAGCCAAAAATGGAGACCTTATATTCTTTCATTTAATCTAAAACAAGGTAGGAATTCATCTTATTTCTCTTATTCTTATTCACTTCGTATTCATCTCACTCACCTCTTTTTTATTTAAAAAAATTATTATTTAAAAATTTTTAATTCCAGTAGAGTTAACACACAATGTTATATTGGTTTCAGGTGTACAATATAGTCACCCAAGAATTCTATCCATTACTCAGTGCTCATCAGGATAAGTGCTCTCCTTAATTCCCATTACCTATTTCAGCCCCACCCCCACCCCCCTCTGGTAACCATCTGTTTGTTCTCTATAATTAAGAGTCTATTTTTTGGTTTGTCTCTTTCCCCCTCCCTTTGTTCATTTGCTTTGTTTCTTAAATTCCACATATGAGTGAAATCATATGGTCTCTGTCTCTCTCTGATGGACATTTCACTTAGCACTCTACTCTTTAGATCCATGTGTGTTGGTGCAAAAGGCGAGATTTCATTCTTTTTGGTGGCTGAGTAATATTCCATTGTATATATATCCACCACATCTTCTTTATCTATTCATCAATCGATGGACACTTGGGCTGTTTCCACGGTTTGGCTATTGTAGGTGATGCCTCAATAAACATTGGGGTGTATGTATCCCTTTGAATTAGTGTTTTTGTTTTCTTTGGGTAAATGCCCGGTAGTAGAATTATTGGATAGTAGGGTAGTTCTATTTTTAATTTTTTGAAGAATCTCCATACTTTTTTTCCACAGTGGCTGCACCAGTTTGCATTCCCAACACCTCTTTTTTTATTATCTGCTTTTAAAAAAGGAATTTTTAGTGATTTGCCCATGGTCACACATCTCAAGTTGATGTTGGAACTTGGATTCAAACACAATCCTGTTGATGCTGTCTCTCTCTCTCTCTCTCTTTTTTTTAAAGTTTTTATTTATTTGACAGAGAGAGACACGGCGAGAGAGGGAACACAAGCAGGGGGAGTGGGAGAGGGAGAAGCAGGCTTCCTGCAGAGCAGAGAGCCCGATGCGGGGCTCAATTCCAGGACCCTGGGATCATGACCTGAGCTGAAGGCAGATGCTTAACGACTGAGCCACCCAGGTGCCCCTTGCTCTTTCTTTTTTAAAGATTTTATTTATTTGAAGAGAGAGAACACAGAGGGAAAGTGAGAGGGAGAAGCCAACTCCCTGCTAAGCAGAGAGCCCCACGTGGGGATCCCAGGACCCTGAGATCATGACCCAAGACAGGCAGACGCCCAACCTACTGAGCCACCCAGGAGCCCCGATTCTGTCTCTGAATAGCCCTGCTCACTCCCCATGCCTTGTGCCCGTGGCCATCATCATCCCATGCTATGACCTGCAAAACCTCCCCACTTGGCTTTCTGTGTCCCTTCTTAATCCTTCCACCACAAGCCAAAGCTGCCTTGGCACAGCAAACTTCGTCCTTATGAAGGGCAGAGGGCTTAGCTTATTCCTCTGTTTAAGCACCTCAGGCTCAACAAGAGCCATCTTCCCTCCATACTTGAATCCAAGAGAAGTCAACATTTAAATTTTTCTCTACTGTGTATTGACCCAAACATGGTGCTAAATGCTTTAGAGGGATTATCTATTGTAAAATTTCACTAGTCTATTCATTAAATTCTTTTGCATTTAAAGCCAGGTATGCTTGATCAGGAAGCCAAGATTTTAACTTCCATGGTAACCTGTATGTACTTAAAATTTCCCAAATGCATGGTGTCTGGTATCTGGGATTTTATACTTGCTGTGCTCTTTCTCTCTCTTTTTCTCAAGATTTTATTTATTTATGGGGGGAGGGGAGGAGGGAGAAGCAGACTCCCCACTGAGCAGGGAGCCCGACAAGGGGCCCCATCCCAGGACTCTGGGATCATGACTTGAGGGGAAGACAGGTACTTAACTGACTGAGCCACCCAGGTGCCCCCTTGCTGTGCTCTCTTTACTTCTCTTTTATCTCACTCACTTATCCTTAACTTCCAGGTTCCAGCTGAGACGTGTTCTTGGATTCCTCCAGACTGGGGGAGCTTCCCTGTTATTTCCTCCCATAATATCACCATCTATATCCAGCACTTAAAAAAAATTTTTTTTTAAAGATTTTATTTATTTGACCGAGAGAGACACACTGAGAGAGGGAACACAAGCAGGGGGAGTGGGAGAGGGAGAAGCAGGCCTCCCGCAGAGCAGGGAGCTGCATGTGGGTCTCGATCCCAGGACCCTGGGATCATGACCTGAGCCAAAGGCAGATGCTTAAAGACTGAGGCACCCAGGCGCCCCCAGCACTTTAAATTTTGTAATGAAATTGTCTGTTTTCTGGAGCTCCTCACAGACTATATATTCTTTGAGGGCAGGGACAATGACTGGACTTTGCTTTCCTCTTCCAAAATGAAAGATGTCCTAGTGCACCATCCTCACTGGTTCTCTTTGAGTTGTCTTCATCTATGAGGCTATGAGTGTCCTGACTTCCACTCCCACATATGCTGCCATATGCCCCAAACTGGACCCATGTAACAGAGTTTGTCATGGTGGGCTTTGCTGGGGTGCATGAAGCACGCCTCCTCTTCTTTACACTCTTTCTCACCATCTACCTGTTCACCTTGGTGGAGAACTTGGCCATCATCTTGGTGGTGGCTTTGAACCAGCGGCTACGTAGACCCATGTATTTCTTCCTGACACACTTGTCCTGCCTTGAAATTTGGTACACGTCAGTGACAGTGCCTAAGATGCTGGCTGGTTTTATCGGGGTAGGTGCCGGCAAGAATATCTCCTACGCTGGCTGCCTGTCTCAGCTCTTCATCTTTACCTTCCTGGGAGCAACCGAGTGTTTCCTACTGGCTGCCATGGCCTATGACCGCTATGTGGCCATTTGTTTGCCTCTCCGATATGGGACCTTGGTGTCGTGGGGCACCTGCGTCCGTCTGGCAGCTGCTTGTTGGCTGGTGGGCCTCCTCACACCTGTTTTGCCTATCTACCTCATGTCCCAGCTGACATTCTGTGGCCCCAATGTCATCGACCACTTCTTCTGTGATGCCTCACCCCTGCTAGCCTTGTCCTGCTCAGATGTCACCTTGAAGGAGACCACGGACTTCCTAGTCTCCCTGGCAGTGCTCCTGGCCTCCTCTATGGTCATTTCTGTGTCCTATGGCAACATCGTCTGGACATTGTTGCATATCCGTTCGGCTGCTGAGCGCAGAAAGGCCTTCTCCACTTGTGCAGCTCACCTGACCGTGGTGAGCCTCTTCTATGGCACTCTTTTCTTTATGTATGTCCGGACAAAAGTGGCCTCCTCCTTCAACTTCAACAAGGTGGTGTCTGTCTTCTACTCCATTGTCACGCCAATGCTCAACCCCCTCATCTACAGTCTTCGGAACAAGGAGGTGAAGGGAGCTCTGGGCCAAGCCTTTTCCCTCAGGTCTTGGAAAGGTCACTGAGGAGGCAAGTGAGGATCTAGTTTTCTTGTCTTGGCTTTTCAGAAGGAGGGCTGTGGGACAGAGCAGTGCCCTGGGTAGCCAGGAGTTATGGATTAGGTATTAGTTAAAGTAAAATATTAATCTGCTGTAACAAGAGACACCTAACTATAATGTAGCTTGAAGAGGGAAGATTTCCTCTTTCCTGCACCCGTCCAAGGTGAGTGCTCCAGGTTGGTGAGTGGCTCTGCTCAACAGGCATTCAAAGACCCAAGTTCCTTCCATCTGCAAGGTCAACATCTCTTAGGATGTTGGCAAACTAAGAGCGGTAGGCCAAATTCAACTCAGCACTTGTTTTTAATGACCTGTGAGTTAAGAATGGTTTTTATACTTTCAATACTTGATTGTAAACAAATCAAAAGTAGAATAATATTTCATGATGCATAATCATTTTATAAAATTAAAAGTTTCAGTGTCCATAAATCAAGTTTTACTAGAATACAGTGACACCATATATGTTGTTTATGGCTCCTTTTGCGCTACAATGACTGAGTTGAGTAGTTGTGACAGAGACCATTTGCCAATCCCCAATCTAGGGCCTTCTTGTTATTTACATGGTCAACACAGGATCCCAGGGGGCAAGAAGGGTGAGGATAGATCACAGAGGAAGCAAACCCCATGTCTTAAAGTTTCTCCACTAGATGTGGAAACCATCATTTCTACTCACCTCTATTGGTAAGAAGCTAGCCATAGTCATGTCTAATAGCCAGGGTGCTAAAAATAGTCCATAGCTAGGCAGCCAGGTACCCAGCCCCAATCTGATTATTGTGAAGAAAAAGGAAAGAACAAATTTTGGCAGACAACCAGCAGGTTCCACCACAAAGTCCTCAGAACCACAGCTGATTTTTCCATTGTGATCCATGTACTTATTTTCTTCGAAGCTACATTGTCTTATTTGAAATATAGGCCCACCTGCCCTCTTTACCAAACCGTGCTCTGAAAATGCATTTAAGAAGATGCATTTAAGGTCCCACATCGGGCTCCCTGCTCCACGGGAGGCCTGCTTCTCCCTCTCCCACTCCCCCTGCTGTGCTCCCTCTCCCACTCCCCCCTGCTGTCTCTCTCTGTCATATAAATAAATAAAATCTTTAAAAAAAAAAAAGATGCATTTAAGAAGATCTGTATGGCAATGTCAACTCACTTGAAGTAAGGCTTAAAAGACAATTATAATTCAAGTCATTCCTTACACTTAGATAGTTGTACTCTTAAAAACATTTACGATCACCATTTGAATGTTCATTCTAGAAACTACAGTGTATGGAAGAGAAAAGTGCAGAGCTTGACTGGGTTGGGGGAAGGACAGATTTTCTGTGATGGTGTTTCTCACCTGGCCAAGAATGAACAGATGATATGATGATGCCCACAGCATCTACGCCCCTGCCCCACCCAGTGTCTTAGCTGTTGCTTAATGACTAGTAGAGACAAATCACACATTTTGAAAACCATTTCATTTGTTGAAAGTTATATATAATTTATTGAATATTATATATGTGCTTTATATTCTTTTGGATGATGGCAAGATACATAAACAGTGCAAAGATGAGAACCTTTCAGAATCAGAAATAAGAATTCATATGAATGAAATAAGAGTAGAACTTTCAGACACCTGACCTGAGTAGATTTGAGCACAAAATGCATTTGACTTTTAGGTTTCTGGCTGAGGGAAACAAAGCAAATCATACTGGGTATATAAGAGTTCTCCAGAGAAACAGAACCAATAAGATCTATCTATCTATCATCTATCATTATAATGATAATGATATAACTATCTATCTATTTAGATAGATTGAGAGATTTATTATAGGTATTGGCTCACACAATATGGAGGCTGAGAAGTCCCATGATCTGTCATCTGCAAGCTGGAGAACCAAGAAAATCAGTGGTGTAATTCAGTCTGACCTGAAGGTTTGAGAACCAGGGGAACATATAGGGTAAGTTGTGGTTTGACATCGAAGGCCCAAGAATCAGGGGCTCTAATGTTCAAGGGCAAGAGAAGATGGATGTCCCAGCACCAGCCAAGAGAAGAAAATTTCCCTTCTTGCTCCTTTTTGTTCATCCAGGCCCTCGATGGACTCGATGATGCCCACCTGTATTGATGAGAGCAATCTTCTTTATTCAGTCTACTTATTCAAGTGCTATCTCTTCAGAAAAACCCTCGCACACACCCCAAAAATATTTTAATGACCGTCCGAGCATCCCTTAGCCCAGTGAAGTTGACATATAGAATGAACCTTCATACAGGGTCATGTCATTCTCATTTATGGTTCCAGAAAGAACTCAAATTCAAACAGAATGCTTTCTGGATTTTGACTCTAAGAACAACTCTATGGGAAGTATTGGTAAAGCTTACAATTTTGAGCTTGTGGAAGATAAATTACTTAAAATGGTAAAAACGCAGAAGCATACTTTTAGAAAGGATCCTACGTATGTAAAAGTGAGTCTTGTTTTAATAAAATCTGATATGAGAAACTGAACTGATAATATAATATTATAGGTCAACTATACTTCAATAAAAAAAAAAAACTGAAAAAAAGAGGCCTCGTGAGTGTGATTATTTACATTGTAAAGCAATCACTCCCTTAAAAAAAGACCTATCTACCAGAATCTGAAGTGCTGGTGAGATACATGATATTTGTAGGTATTGACAGCAAAAGTTTTTCTTTTTAATTAATTAATCAGCTTCTGGCTTTGTTTTTTGCATTATAGTTGACAAAATATCATATTACTTTCAGGTGTACAACATGGTGATTCAACATTTTTATCCATTATGAAATGATCACCTTGATAGGTCTTGTTACCATCAGTCACTAAACAAAGCTAGAACAATGTTAATAACTATATTCCTTATGCTGTACATTACATCCCAGTGACTTATTTTAAACTGGAAGTTTCAACGGCTAAAGATTTTAAACCCACTATTAATGGTAGATCATTCTGCAATGAAGATAAATTATGAAATCATGACAGGAAAATATGTATTCTTGTAAATAGGGCATTTCTGAGAATATAATTCCTTCTTTGGGGGATACCAAAGAGACCCAGAGGTACCCAGAGAATGTCACAATGAATAATTTGAGAGACGTAAGACTTGTTTTTTTTTTCATTTTTTAAAATTTAAATTCAATTAATAACATAATGTATTATTGGTTTCATAGGTAGAGGTCAGTGATTCATCAGTCTTATATAATACCCAGTGCTCATTACATCACGGGCTCTCCTTAATAAGACTTGTTTTTTAATAATTTTTTTAAATTTTATTTTTATTTATTTATTTGAGAGAGACAGAGAGATAGCAAGAGGGAGCACACGAGGGGGCGGGTAGGGCCAGGAGAGGGAGAAGCAGACTCCCCGCTGAGCAGGGAGCCTGATTTGGGCTCGATCCCAGGACCCTGGGATCATGACCCGATCCGAAGGCAGTCACTTAACCAACTGAGCCACCCAGGTGCCCCAAGAGAAGTAAGACTTATTAAGACAGAATGCTGTAAAGAACGCCGTTCAACTTGTTTTGCCCATCCTGGGTACCTAGATAGCAATTTAATTGTTAGCTAGGGACTACATGGGAGCCATCCTGGAGAAGGTGCTTTGACTTGGGACTTGGTATGAATGACGGGCTCCGTACACTGAAATCAGAACTCTACAGTTTGCTGTGTACCATTATGTCACCATTGTTGAAGGCTTTGATGCTGGTCTATGGGACCCCCTTCTATGGTTCCACATTCTTTTTATCCTTTACCCCTGTGTTGGTATTCCTTTTTTCAGAGATCTTATTCTATCTCTGGCTGTGGCTTTCAATTTCAATTTTCACATGTGAAATCCTTGGAAATCCTTGACTTCTAAGCTGTTTGTCAAAACACTGGCTTTGGCTGTGGGATGCTACAGCTTTCTGTTTATTATTTTTTCTGTAATTTTCTTTTTTTAATGTTTCAGTTTTTTAAATATAGATTTTAGAACAGCTTTCTGTTTCTCTAAATTGAGTCTTTTCTACCTCTATCCTTGTTTCCATCGATGGCTTCATTGTCAGGGTCTAAATATCATTCTTGGTCAGTAAGATAGGAGCATTTTAAACCCCTTTTGACAGGAACTTAAAATGGATCTCATTGCCCAGAAACGTGGATGCTTCGGGACCTTGAGACCATCTGTGTAGTGCCATTCAGCTCTGTCCCTCCCCAGAGAGCAGTCCAGGAGCACTAACATTTAATTAATTGATGCCCAAAACTTTGTGGGCTTCATTAGCACCCCCACACTCCCAGGGAAGTTGAGGGGCTTTATTTAGAGCAGACTCTTCTCTAGTGGTTGCTCAGCTGGGTCTGTGCCAGTCACCTGTCCTCATCTACCCAAAGGTAAGCGGCCAGCCAGAGCAGGTGCAGGTTGTTAGAATAGTTAGTTCCACAAGAGATATATTCAGTTTACTTCAATCAGGTTAGGTTGGAAATGTTAGATCACAAGCTTTGCAAGTGCTCCACTTCAGCCATTCTGAATTTCCCTCCCCAGGGCATAGCTTGCAGCAAGGGTCTCATAAAAGTTTCAGTTATTCAGCAAAGAGTCAAGACATCCAGGTTTGCCACTCTGTATAATTTTATTGAACTACTTAACAAATACTTGTTTAGTTCTCACTATGGGCCAGGTACTATCCTCAGTGCTTTATAAATACTAATTCATTTATTCCTCATTGATAACCCCATGAAGTTGGTGCTGTTACCTCCCTTTGCACGTGAAGAAACTGTTGTACAGAGAAGTAATGTAACTTGTCCAAAGTCACACAGCTAAGGAAACAGAGAACTAGGTCTTTAAACTTGTTTATCTAACTGCACAATGATGCCCGGGTATATTCGTCCCTTCTTGGCATCATTTCCCTTGTAAAAGGACAGGGTGGATGGATGACTTTAAATACCTCCCTTTGAGTGTTTAGTATGTGCTGGGCACTCCCCACATTTTCTCACTTCATCCTCACATCAACCCAGAGGGAGCCTTATAGTCTCATTCTACGTTGGTGTAACCTGAGGCTCAGAGAGGTTAAGCCACACCCCGAGGTTCACACAGCAGCAACATGGAGGAGCCAGGAGGCTCTGAGCCAGGACTCTCTGACTCCATCCGACCACTCTACCTCGCTGCCTCCTCTGCAAGATCTCCTCCAATACTAGCTTTGCAGACGTTGACTTATTCGTTCACCAAACAGCTCTTCTGTCTCCTCTCCACACCAGGCACTGGCTGGCTGCCGAGCGGCTGCAGGATGAATGAGACCAGATGCTTCCATCAAGGACAACATTATTGCAAACATGTCTCACGTCCCTCTGATAGTAGAAGCCGCTAAGTGACGAGGAGGAGTCCAGACCAGTGTCACAGGGCATGTTGTCCTGACGGCCAGCCCAGGGAGGGCATCCTTGGGAACGCGGCACTCCCCACAGTCAGCTTCTGACCTTGCCTGAGAGGCTGCCTGCCAAGCATTTGTTCTTTTGTGTTCTTCTCGGGGTTGAGAATGATGATATAGCATTTGGGAAAGAAGAGGCAGGACATGAGGCCTGCTCCTGATGCTAAGATGGCAAAGACCTCCACGGCCACCGTGTCCTTGCCTTGAGTGCTCATGTGGGCAGGGATGAAGGAGGCCCAGACACAGGAGCACACACACGTGCTAAGAGTGATATGCTTTGCTTCGTTGAAGGTGTCAGGCAGCCAGTGGGTGGGGAAGGCCACCAGCAAGCTGACCAGCCCTAGCAGACCCAAGTAACCCAGCATGGCATAGAACAGTTTCAAGGAGCCCTCATCACACTTTACTGTCATCATGGATCCAGGCCCAGTAGAGTTCACAGGCCGTGGGGGCCATCTGATCACCCAGAGCATACACAAGGTTGCCTGGATCAGGGAATAGACAATGGGGACGGTGCTAGGGAGAACCGGCCCCACCCACCTCCTAAGCTGGGTGTCCGGCCGGTGGCGTGGAAGGCTGCCACCACCATGAGGGTCTTGGCCAGCACAGTGGACACACAGGCTGTGAAGGTGACCCCAAAACCTGCCTGACTCACAGCACAGGTGAAGGGTCCTGGGTGCCCAATGAACAGGAAGGGGCAGAGGAAACAGAAGGCCAAGCAGGACAGCAAAAGGTAGCTGAGCTGACGGTTATTGGCTCAGACGATGGGGGTGTGGTGGTGCCAGATGAAGATGCCTAAGATGGCCAGGGCAAGGAGGAAGAGCAGGGCTGTGCAGACCACCAACACTGCGCTGAGGGGCTTGTGGTAGGACAAGAAGTCAAGCATTTTGGGGATGCACAGACTCTGCCCCATATTGGGCCACTGGTCCTCAGGGCACTTCTCACATGCAACACTATCTGAAGGGAGAAAGAGAAACTGGGTCAGAGACCAGAGTGGGGAAGCTTCTGGAAACTGTCCTGTGGCCAAGAAGTCACAGGACTAGGTCTTGTGTATTTCAGTTTTGTAACCCTTCCATGGTACTTGATGTCCTCAGATTGAGGGCCGAAGACACAGAGGGCAGAAATCCTAGTGGCAACTGGTCATCATGCCTCAGATTGTAATAAAATAACATCGACACAATGACCTACAGAAGCTCTAACTCCTCTCTGGGCTTTGTCCCTTTTAGTCCAACCACCACTGTGGCCGTGTCATAATTCACAGTCATGGCTAGTTTATTCATGCATTTATTCATTCATCAGCCCATTTAATTTAAAGAATTTCAGTGGGGTGCTTACTATGTACACAGACTCTCTCTTTTTTAATGGAGGCACCTACGTCTAAATCACTCCTTTGATGGAACGTATCAGAGTTTTGCTTTCCGTAGTGATTTTAAGGATGGGCTTTGTTACCGGAGCTCTAGAGCAGACATACGTTCTCATTTAACTCTCTTCCTTGATTTGGTTACATCTCTATGATCCCAGATGCTTGATTTCATGTCCTAGTCTGCAAGTCCAAGGATGATTTCTTATTTATCATTTCTGTCCTCTCTTCACCAACCGGTGTCTCCTCCCTGTCCCCGGCTTCATTCCGCGGTGCCTTTCTCTTTCAATGGGCAAAGAGGATCCTCAAGGACCCTGCCTTCCCTACACTGAGAGTTTCCATTGTGCCAGGAGACCTTCCCCATCCCATGGCTTCAACAGTTCCCTGGATTTTGTGCCTATGCCTCCTGATCAGTTCTCTTTCTTTTCAGTACATTGATCGCTTCTCAATCTCCCCAAACACATTGAAACGCACACTGCTTCTCCACGTAATTAATTCCCTGGCTCCCCATTTTTGCAGAGTAGACTCCACGGTCCTGAGTCTGGCAAGGAAGGCCCTCTGTTATCTGGCCACCTGCTCCCTGCATCTCCCATCAGTGGCTGTGTTCAAGTGACTCTGTGCTCCTTACTGCTTTCCTGTCTTGAAACTTTGTTGATGGGCTCCTTGGCCCCGACTGTCCTTCTCATGTTTCATTGCCTGGGACATTCCACTTGTTGCTCAAGGCCTAAATCGTATGCCACCCCCTCCAGTGGAAAGTTCCCCTACATACCCCTTTGTTAGAATTCGTTTTTCCTCTGCACTTTCATGGTTCGAGGCTTGAATTTGTATTAAGGCAATTGATTTCACTTCATAGTCTAGTTTCTTTACTCTCCCAGGTTTGGAAGACACAGGGATCATCTCCTTGAAGAGATCATGAGCTCTGTGGTCCAAGGGCTGTGCCTCATTTGTTGTCACCACCTTTGCACCCAGCACAGTGGCTGCATATAGGAGGTGCCAGTTGATATCTGTTGAATGAATGACATCTTAGCAAGATGCAGATTAAGTCGATAGAAGGGTTTTTCTTTTTCTTTTTCTTTTTTTCCTTTTTAAAATTATTTTTATTTTTTTCTTTTTCTTTTATTATTATTATTATTTTTTATTTTTATTTTTAATTATTTTTTAAATTATTTTATTATTTATTTATTATTATTATTTTAATTTTTAATTTTTAATTTTTTATTATTATTTATTTTTAATTAATTAATTAATTAATTTATTTTTTATTATTTTTTTTAAGATTTTATTTATTTATTTGACAGAGAAAGACACATTGAGAGAGGGAACACAAGCAGGGGGAGTGGGAGAGGGAGAAGCAGACTCCCTGCCGAGCAGGGAGCCCGATGCGGGACTCGATCCCGGGACTCCAGGATCATGACCTGAGCCGAAAGCAGTCGCTTAACTAACTGAACCACCCAGGCGCCCTATATATATATATATTTTTTTTTTTTTAAGATTTTATTTATTTATTTGAGACAGAGAGAATGAGAGAGACAGAGAGCACATGAGAGGGGGAAAGGTCAGAGGGAGAAGCAGACTCCCTGCCGAGCAGGGAGCCCGATGCGTGACTCGATCCAGGGACTCCAGGATCATGACCTGAGCCGAAGGCAGTCGCTTAACCAACTGAGCCACCCAGGCACCCAAGGGTTTTTCTTTTTCAATATTTATGGGATGGCTACTATGTGGCAGACATGAAAGTAGGCACAGAATTTGGACAAACTCAGAGTCGATGAAAGAAAGAATGAATGGATAGCCTTAAATGGCTTTACTGTAGCAAGTGGGAAGGACATCTTGAAAACATCTTTTGATTTCCTCTTTGCTGGGTTTTTCTTTCCCAGTAAAGAAAGGAGTCATTCCTTGAAGTGATGATGAAGGCTTGTCTGAAGCCTATCATGGCTGCTGGCTGGCCCCCGTCGACAAGGGCAGCCTCTGTCTTACCCGTTGCCATGGCCGTCTCTCCTCTGGGGCAGGGAATGCAACTGTAGCAGCAGTTTGACTTCTCAGATAGGATCGACTTCCTGGTTCCCACAGGACCTTTTTCACTGCAGATCGAGATAAGGACCTATGCACGAGAGGAGAGAGAGCACCGGGGAGACTGTGCAGCATCTGTGTATTCAAGTCTTAGAAGAATTACCAGCATCATTCTACCTTACCAGGACCCTTCCTGTCTTCTTCCTTCTTCCCTCTCCTTCCTTTACCTCCTCCTTTCTTTTCCTCTTTCCTCTTTACCTTCCCTTCCTTCCTTGCTCAGGTAGTTACCAATGTGTTCCATGGATCAGGTACCGTGCAGGATATTAGTGAAATAACAGTAGGTAAAAATGATCTCTTAGAAGAGAAGAAGAAAAGAACAGAGACGAACTACAAGTACAGCCTATATCAACTAACAAAATGGCAATAAGCACATACCTATCAATAATTACTTTAAATGTAAATGCACTAAATTCTCCTATCAAAGGCTAGAGACCTGAAACCATAAAACTCCTGAAGGAACAGTGAGTAATCTGTTTAACATTGGCCTAAGCAACGCTTTTTCTAGATATGTTTCTTCAGGCACGGGAAACAAAAGCAAAAATGAACTACTGGGACTACACCAAAATAAAATGCTTTTGCTTGGTGAAGGAAGCCATCAGCAAAATGAAAAGGCAAGCTACCTAATCAGAGAAGATATTTGTAAATGATATGTCTGATAAAGGGTTAATATCTAAAATATAGAAATAACTTATACAAGTCAATGACAAAAACCAGACAGTTCAGTTACAAAATGGGCAGAGTACACGAACAGACATTTTCCCAAAGAAGATATACAGTGGCCAATAGACACAAGAGAAGATGCTCAACATTACTAATCATCAGGGGAATGCAGATCAAATTGAATTAAATTGGAAATTATATATATTTTACTTTCCCATTTGCTCATTAATTACCTTTGTCTTTAGCAAGCTCCTTTGTTTGGGAAGCCAGGGGTGGTTTTGGAAGGTTTTATTTGCTGAACAGCCTTAGAGTTGTGTGAGTCAATGGTCCGCTCTATACTCCCTTTGACCAAGTACCCTAAGCCAGTTCAATGTAACAAATACTGTCGGGTGCTCAGAAGTGTGAGGTGCTTTGTGGGTGTGGTAGGGGGGCTCTCAGCTCTCACCCTTAAGAGCCCTTCTGCCCAGATTATGGCACTGTCATTTATCAGCAGCTCTTTTCCAGGAGGAGTGCTGAAGTCAAAATGTCCAACAATGGCTGTCTGTCCTCTCTGGTCTGGGAAGACATAGACGTTTTTAATGTTAAACATTGCCAGCATCTCAAGATAACTTCTTCGTGGGCTCTGGTGGTGAAGCGAAGATTCTGGGTATAAAGGAGCACCTGAGGCAGGGACAGAAAGTACAAGGCAAGAAATTGGTTAGGCGTACCACAGGCAAGGGAGCTCCCTTCACATCACCGGACCATTCTCCCACATCTGTGCTCACCAACACATGGAGGAAGGCACCTCCTCTTTGCACATTTTATGGAAAATAACTCTGCTTTCTCATCTTTCAAGTTTGCCTTAATCTGCAGTGCATAGGGAAGTGGAAGTCAAGTTAATGGAAATCTGGTCGTCTAGGGCTTGCCTGAGACATTTCACGGACAGGCTCATCTTATGAATATGGGTGTCTCCACGTATTCGTAGCAGCGTCCCTTCATACATACTACTTAGTTTCCTTCTCGGTGCCAGACATGATTGGTGACTAGGAAACAGAAACACTCTGAAGGCAAGCACACATTTTGTACATTTCTGTATCCCATGTTGCTCCAAGGAGCATGAAAAGGGCTTAGTAAATACTTGTGTTACACACATATATTTGTTGAGTTAGGCCACTGAAGCTCAGTAAGACCATAGGAGGGAGTTTCAGCAAAGATGTTGGCTGGGGGCAATGCTGGGCTTAGATATTGAGAGATCCCAGGAATACTTCAGCATAGGGAGGCAGCAGAGAGCCTGGCCCAGCGCCCATACTGTGGAGTTAGGTTGCCTGGTGTGATTCCTGAATCTACTTGAACCAGCTGTGTGACCTTGGATGTGTTATTCTGCCTCTCCATTTTCTCATCTGTAGAAAGGGGACCTACCTCCTAGGGTCGTTGTGAAGATGCAATGTATTAATACATACAGAGTGCTTGCAGCATTACTTGGCATGGAAAAGCACTTGAAAATTGTTAAGTATTATTACTCTTAAAGCCTTTAAAAACCTCACACTACACAGTACTGATGAAATCACCTAAAAGCCATCTTAAAGAAGCTGTGCCTAGTTTGAAAGCATTCTTTTAGTAGTAAGAGGATTTTTCTTCTACTCTGACTTTGTTTCTATAATTTTACTTCGATATTTGTAGCGGCATGTGGCTGAGTGCTCAACAACCAGCTCTCTGGGGGAAAAAGGCAGGATTTTTAGGTCTCCTACTTTCCATGGTGAGCAAAGAGCTTGTGCAATTCCTGAAAATTTTACAATTGACTCTCAAAGCCGGCAGGAGCCAGTCCTCTCTTCTAGCTATAGACCCTGACATTTTTCATAATAAGGGATCTGAGCCCAGGAGACGTTGGCTCTAAAGTCAGTACTCCTTTCATTAGACCTTGCTTCCTCAGCACTAGCCTGTGGCTCAGAGCAAGCTGGGAGGGATAGGGATTGAATCCGGAGGTCTTGGCTGCTCACCTGCCAAGAGCTGGCATTGTGTGGGTCTGCACAGGAGCCTCCCAGGAAAGGCCCGTCTCCTGGGAGCAGGACGTCAGGTTCTGATAGGCGGCCAGGAGGGCTCTGGCTGCCAGGTAGGCTTGGTAAGTGGCCGTCAGGTCATGCGGTTTGAAGGTAGACAGGTAGACCACTGTCATGTTCTCATGCTCTTTGCAGTGATGAGCCTCTTCTCTGGCGTTTGGGCTGGAAGCCCCTGATCCAGGCCACCTGCATCCCTGCAACTCCTCACAGAGCTTCCTCACCTGACTGTTGCCCGGGTAGGCGGCTGGGCACAGCACCAATTGGAAGTCCTCAAAGCCCGGCAGGAATCCCGAGTGCATGGTCAGGCTCAAGGTGACGTTCAGCAAGGTGCGATGGGTTGTAGAGGAAAAGAGGTGGAGAAGACCCACGTCCTCCTGGTCACATTCTTCTCCCAGAGGGCCTCGGCCAGCAGCCCGAAGTGGAGGTGGTAACAGTCACAGACGATGACCGTGGTGGTAGGGCTGGCGGCGAGCACGCTGGCCACGCTGTGGATGCTGTGGGCCTGGCTGCCGATCTTGGAGAAGGCCACACAGCTGCCCGCGCGCCTCCCCTCCTTCCGCAGCTGCTGCTGCTCCAGCCACTCCAAGTTGCCACTGTCAGAACCCACCAGGCCCACCCAGGTCCAGTTAAAGTGGCTCAAGAGCTTGGTCAGGACCTGGGGCTGGTGGGCGCTGCTGGGCACCGTGCGGAGGAAGGACGGGAACCGGGACAGTCGGAGAACTGGGGGTGCTGGGATCTGTGGCTGCCCGTGGGGGAGAAGCGGGGCTGTATATTTGCGTGGGGACACCTTACCACCCCTGCCCAGTGTCTGCTGTCCTGGACCCGCCCTCACTGCCCCCCTTCTATATGCAAATAGTTTCTTTTTTTTTTTAACATACAGAATGTTGTGCGTGATTACCATTTACGACCTGATGAGTTTGGAGATAAGTGTACATCTGTGAAACCATCAGCACAATCTACGCCATGCACCTACTCATCAGTCCAAAGTTGCTCCCACCCTCTTCTCTATTATATTAGTCTGGTTTTGTGTGATAAGAGCACTTAGCACACTATTTACCCTCTTGGCTAATTTTTAAGAACACAGTACATATTGTGAACTCTAGGCATTATGCTGTACAGGAGATCTCTAGAACTCATTGGGTGTAACTGAAACTTTGTGCCCTTTGACGAATATCTCCCTGTTTTCCTTCCTTCCAGGCCTGAACCACTTCTCTATTATCTGCTTCTGGGAATCTATTTTAATTCATCATATAAGTAATATCAAGTTGTATTAATCCTTCTGTGTCTGTCTTTTATTTTTAAATATTATCTCAGCCTATCTCATCATCTACCTCCAGGTCCTTCCAAAGCCTATATGCTCAGGCCTGGGAGGCCAGTTTCCTGGAAGAAGGACAGCAGTGGACTCAAGAAGGCAGAGTAGGAAGCCAGTGGGAGAAACAGAGAAGTAAGGTGTGCTAAGTGATTTGTGTTTATGCGTTGTATAATTCTTGACATTGCTTGAGAGGTAAAGGTTCAAGTGAATTAAAAACTTGAATAATCATGAGAAGCATAGAAACAAGATATAGAACATCCAAAGCAGTGGAAGAAAAAAAAGGTTAAAAAAATCAGGAAATTTCAAGAAAGGACAAAACAAGAAAAAAGCATAATAAATATGAATGAAAAATGAATGGAAAAATGAATGAAAGCATAGAAACGCTTTCAAACTAAATAACACATAAAACAGCTTTCTATTTGTTATTTCTAGTATTATGTTTTTAAATTTTTTTGTGGAAAGTTATGACAAAGCCTAAGAGATAGAAAGTTCTATGAGAGGGCCAAATGGCATCAAACACGTCGGCAATTTGAGCAAATGTAAAAGGTTCAATGACTCCAGTTAAGAAAAGCATAATGTGTGCTCTGTTTGCTGTCTAGACAAACTACAGCCTCCTGCATCCTCACTACAGAAGTGATTTATTTTTATGCCTTTGTAAGAATTTCCACATAAATAAGAAATGAGAAAAGCCATCCTCAGTCAGCTAAGTGTCCTGATTATTGACTGACAAGCCAAGGTCACCCTAAACGAATAGTTCCATTTGGAACCTTGAGGCTAGGTTGTTCCGCCCCAAGTCCCAACCCTTCGAGAGCCAGAGGGTGCCCTGGTGTTATGGCTCTCTGGTTCATGCTTGCCTTCTTGTCCAGAGTAGGAGCACTTCTGAGGACAGAGCCATGGCATATGGTACCTATAGCATAGCGTTCTATGCCATGAGTGATGTGCTCAGTAAGAATTTGGAAACAATAACCAGTCCCACAATAGGCAGTATTTCTGTTTAGGTGAGGTTTCCTCCTTCTTGCTTCTGTACCTTCTTCTCCCTGTGGAGTCTGGTTGCCCAGCTTCGAATCCCAAACTCCCATTTATTATTTGTGTGAATTGTGGCAAGTGACATTTCCTCTTTGAGTCTCAATTTCATAATCTGTAAAATGGGAATAATAATATCTACCTCCTAAAGTTGTTGTGAGGATTACATGAGATAATAAAAATAAAGGCAATGATATTAATAAGAGGAAATACTGATACAGAGCTTACTATAAGTCATGCATTTTTCTGAGTGTTTTTCGTGTATTAACCCATTTAATTTTCATAAGAATTTGATACATGCAAAATATCTAGAAAGCAGTTCCCACTGAGGGTAATGACTCAAGAAATTACAGGCATAGTTACTATTAAGTAATCTCAACCAATAGTGCAGAAGAAAGCCTGTGATAAACTCATTTATACTAGGATGTGAGTGGTTGACAATAGCTATACATCACTGAACAACAGCTACTGAGAATTAAGCGTTTGCATCTTATTGGATGATTTTTCAGCTGGGGCATTTGAGGCCTCCGTGGAATCTGGGAGAGAAGATATTTAATATTTCTTGTGGTGTCTTTTAGAGCTCACAAGTCATAGTCATGTAACTTATTTCCCTGCATGGTGGGGAAAAATAAGGATTCTCCAACTGGAAAATGATTTCATAAACATTGCTTCCCTGCCTAACAGATTTGATACGTACTAAAGATCAAACAGAAGTCAAGTCTAGGCGGATGTTTCATGGAAACATCATGAAATCCAGCACTGTGGTCAGTGACTTGTTCAACTTTCCAACTTTCTGAGAAGGGTGGGAGAAGGAATGAGCTCATCCTGGCCTGGGTTATAAACCTTGAGTGCTCTCATCAGCCCTCAGATCATGGGCAGTTAGAGCACATGTGTCCCAGGCTGTTTAATCAACCAAAAATTACGAGAGTTTGGCATAAGGTGGCCAAAGGTTTATTTTGCCACAGAAGTGTGTTGGAAAAATAAAACCTACAATAGGTCCATCTGGAAACAACTGAAGTGTCCATCGATGGATGAATGGATAAAGGATCTGTGGTGTACATGTATGATGGAATATTATTCAGCCATTAAAGGAGGAAATCCTGTTATTGTGAGAGCATGGGTGGAGGGCATCATGCTGAGTGAAATAAGCCAGACAGAGAAAGACACGGACAGTGTGATCTCACTTACATGTGGAACTAAAACAAACACAAACCAAAACCCTAACAAACTCATGGAAAGGAGATGAGATTTGAGGTCACCAGAAGGGGGGAAGGAGGAATTGTAAGAAGCTGCCAAAAGGTAGACTTCCAGCTCCGAGAGAGGTAAGCGCTGGGGACGCATGTGCAGCCTGGGGACAGGAGCTGACACCACTGTCTGGCACATGGGAAAGTTGTCAAGACAGTAAATCCCGAGAGGTCTCATTACAAGGAAAAACTTTCCTTTTCCTTCCTTTGCTTTCTCTCTTCATTGTATTTCTATGAGGCCATGGGCGCTAACTAAACTTCTTGGGGTAATCATTCCATAGTGGGTGTAAGTCAAACCATCATGCTGTACACCTTGAACTTATACGGTGATGTCTTTCAATTATATCTCAATAAAACTGAAAAAAAAAAAAAAGGAACCACTGCTGAAGGAGGGCCGGCGACCTCACACTGACATGCATACACCGACCCCAAGGCATTTCTTTGTCTTGTTGTTGCAAACCAGAGAAAGCATCCCAGTGGATCAGCACCAGTTTGGGGACAAGCACTAGGGAACCACCCATCTAGTCCGGGACCTGCTCCTCCATTTTGTAGGACGGGGGACCCCAGGCCCAGGGAAGGGAAGTAAGCTCTCCAGGTCACAACCTGTGATGGGTCTGGCCGGGTGCAGCGTGATCCTGTAGCTCACAGCCAGAGGACGCTAGTGGTTCCTTCTCTGCAGGTGCATCCTCACCTGAGGGGCTCTGTACATGGACAGCAGCTCAGCCATGGGCTCAGACTCTGGGGAGCTCATCCCACCAACCACCCCCAGGAGCCGTGGCCGGGGGCCGCAGCGGAAGTTGGGCGTGGGCCGGGGCTGGTTGGACAGCAGGGCCAGGGTGCTCGCCAGGGCCCGAGACCCTGAGATACAGGAATCACGGACCGGCAGTCCCACGGTGATGTTGGGCAGGAAGGCTGGGTCCTCTTTCGCCTCGGATACAGCGAAGAGAAGGCCCAGGACATTCAGGAAAAAGCGGGTGTTGAGCCTTCGAGAGGGTGAAGGACGGGGGGCAGTTAGGATCGGTCAGTAGCATTCTGCTGAGCCACATAAAACTGCCACAGAGGGTGTGTCCTTGCAAGGAGCGTGGCGAGGTGCGAAGGGAGACTGCATTTAGATGTACGCTGGCGGGAGGACGAAGCCTTGGGGGAAAGACGGCCATGCACCAGTTCACATACACGGGGAAAGGCCGGCAGCTTCCCAGAGGTGGACAAGGGCACACACAGAGCGAGAGACATTCAGACCCTGACGCACGCTCACAAGCACACACACAGACACATTTACAGACACTCACATAGGCACAAACACACACACAGAGACACACACACAAAGACACACACACACAGACACACACACAAACACACACAGAGACAAACACACATACAGAGACACACTCACATACAGAGACAAACACACATACAGAGACACACACAGAGACACACACAGAGACACACACACAGACACACAAACACACACACAAACACACACAGACACACATACAGATACACACAGAGAGACACATACAGAGACATACACACAAACACACAGAGACAAACACACAAAGACACACACACACGGACACACACACAAACACACACAGAGACACACACACATACAAACACACATACAGAGACACACACACAAACGCACATACAGATACTCACAGAGAGACACACAGAGCCACACACACAAACACACACAGAGACACACACAGAGACACACAAACACACACAGAGACACACACAAACGCACATACAGATACACACAGAGAGACACATACAGAGACACACACACACACAGACATGCAGACGTGAAGAGAGGCTGACCTCAGTGCAGCACTCAGCTGACAAACTGGCAGAGCGGAAGTGACAGATGCATGGCACACACACACAACACACGTGTACAGCACACACATGCAAGCACACATGTGCACATCACACACGCACGGCACACACACACTGCGGTGGGAGGCTCCGATGCAGAGACAGGCGCTCAGGTGTGGATGAGGTGCGCACACGCACACACATCACACACACACAGTGCACACACACAAACACACAACACACACATAGCGCACACACGCACACAGCACACGCACACACAGTGCACATGCACACAGCACACACACAGCGCTCACACACACAGCGCACACGCACACACATCACGCACACACAGGGCACATGCACACACACGCACACACATGCACACAGCACACACGCAAACACACACGCACACAGCACACATGCACACACACAGCGCACACACACACAGCGCACACGCCCTGCGGTGGGAGGCTCCGATGCAGAGGCCGGCAGCCGGGTGCACGGCACACAGACGGACACACCCTTGCAGAGACAGACGGCCAGAGACACAGGTAGAGAGCCCTGAGTAGGGTGCAGACGCATGCCAGAGTGCCCCTGACCAACACGTAGGCCGGAGGAGGACAGACAGACGTGGGGAGCGGAGTGACATCGGTCTGGCTACAGACTTCCTGGGCACCTTTCTGGAAAGACCTTGCAGGCGCCCAGCCTGGAAGGCGGTGAGGGCCCAGTGCAGCCCTGGGAGCAGCTCAGATACCTGTGGAAGCCGGGCAGGCACGGATGGGTGCAGACAGGCGCCGGCCTGGGGCTGCCTTCCCCTTGGGCCCCCTGCACAACCCCTACGTGCGTCTTCCCACAGCTCTGGCGCCAGGACACCAGCTGCAGAGCTCTTCTCACCTTCGAACCAAAGGAACGTTAGCATCGTGCAGAGAGAGAAGGGGACTTGCCTTGGGTGATCAGTGACTCAGGGACGGCCGGGACCAGAACCTAGTCTGGCACCTGGTGCTCAGAGCCAGTGCTGTCCCTGCCCAGGGGCTCTGGACGCTGGGTGACAGGTCTAGCGCCCCCAGCTGCTTGCAGTGATCAGGAAGGCGTCCCTCCCCCGCCCTCCCTCACTGGGTGGCCATACCTCCCTAAGGATCAAGAGTCCTCCCACCGCTGGCACAGTGGCTGCCCCAAAGGCTGCTGGAACCTTGCTTGTGGCTGATCCAGCACCACGTGTGAGGGCGTCACAGCCCCGATGAGCACGTTTCCTTTGGTGGAGAAGCCGTCTGAGGGCCTGGACATTGGCAGGTAGCCAGGAGCATGGACAGCGTCCCCCGTGGGCACTGCCAAGAGCAGGGCCACAAGGATAACTGGACAGGCCATGGAGGCTGTCCTTTCCTGAGGGCGTGTGGCTGGGGGTCCTTGTTGTCAGACCGCCTGGGCCGGGCCTCCTCCTGGAGGCTCTGGGCACATCTGCTGAGTCTTCACGGGACCCCAGAGAGAAGGTGAGTGAGTGTGGCTGAGCTCCTGGCCTTTGCCCTACGTGCCTATTCTTTCAGAGTCGTGCAGGGCTCTGCAACCCGCTTCCGGGCCTGGCTTGCAGCACCCTGATCCCTGCGTCGCTTGTCCTCACAGCTACTAACTGTCCTTGCTTGCTGGCTGAGGACCCGGCAGAGACGGGCCCACTACCTGAGAGCAAGAGGGGTGCCCTGCCCACCGGCACCTCCTCTCTTCTGGGGACCTGCCGTGGGGGCTTGTGTTTATGAAGTTGTCCACCTTCCTGCCCCAGGGCCCCTGGGCCTGCTCACACCCCATAATCTTCAAAGCCAGAATTACCGCCGTGATGCACAGGGGAGGCTGAGGCCTCCAGGGTCAGGCTGAAGCAGTGAAGCAGCCTGTTGAGTCTGTGGCCGCAGACCTCAGTGTCCCCGGGGAGGGTACACTTGACATCGTGCTCACAGAGGGACACAGCCAGGGCGGGCTGGCCTTAGGGTTCGGCTTCAATCTCTTTGTGGCCTGAATACTATCCCATCTCTTAGGCAATTCACTTCCTCTCTCTGGGACCTCTGTTTTCTCCTCCGTGACAGGAACACATGGCTTCCGCAGGTGGTCCCGAAACTCTGTTTCAAGAGCACAGCCTTCCACAACATGCTAGCTCTGTGCCTA